TCCTTATATTTGTTATTATAGGAATAATGCCTGATATATGGGTCTATTTCAATGAGAGCTCCCAGACATGTCATAAGAGATGCATCAGCTTGTGTCTGCAGAATGTGATCTCATCTACAGAATGAGGCTGGCAAAGGCACAGGTTTAGACTGGACACATTATGTTTCATTTATACTCTGTTTACACTTTATGTTATGTGCTGGCAGCGTAGCAGATGATGCCATGAAATCAATTCATATTTATGTATAAGATTTTATGTATGAGTTATACTAAAGCTGTACAAAAGATAAACCTTATTTCTGCCATTGGCTATGAAGTGTGTTATATTAGATTTAGGATTAAAGAAGACCTAATACACCCCAGTGAAATATGTTGTGTGAGTTTACCTTTATACCATATGATGTGTCTTTTGTAGCTCTGAGCCCAATAAATTGAAGTCAACACAAAGTTAGTATGCCAATGCGCTCATCTTTTTATTGCACAACAATGTATCATCTTTTGACGCTTAAACAACACTGCCATTGACTGACAGACCAGCTTATTGAGAGAGACCAGGGTGTGGCTCCATATTCTCAGCTAGCAGAGGGGTGGACAGCCTTTTGGAAGAGGTTCAAATCAGCTCTGTGCCCTCCCAGCCAACACGTCGCTCAGAATGGGCCAAATAGCTAAACTATCAACTTTATCTCCTGTTATCAGTACTGATCTGGCCTCTTGAAGATTTCAAATCTGATTAGAGGTGCAGTGCTCAGGCTGAGAGCTGATTTGAACCTAAATGATAGACATCAACTTAGCTTAGGCAGAGGTCGGAAAGACTTTAAAAGCGGAAGTCAAGCCTGAGATGGTGGCAGACTTTAGTACACATGTCTTATTTCTGTGCTGTAGTCCACATGGTGCTGGTATAGTCTGGCCCACACCAGACGCTGCTGGTGCAGGCTGCGGAATGCTACTAAGTATGGAAATGTGCTAGTCTTTTATTGGAGCGTTTCAGAGTTTTATTTAGATGTGATGGAGTGGTGAGTGAGTAACACTTCGCAGTTTGTGCCAATGTCTCTCGGCCTCATGTAGGATTCGAACCCCTAATGGCATTATATTCTCCAGTGGGACCAATGTTATAGAAGGAAAGGCACAGGAACACACACACACAAACTCAAGCACACGAGAGACAGAGTCCTGAAGCAGAGAAGGCTTAGGTAAGCTAAGCAGGCTACAGTAGCTACGACACAAATATATAATTGACAAAATAAAATTATTGTATACAACAATGTCTAGATTTGAAGGTCCCACTAAGAAATGTACACAGAACTCTGCTTAAATAAGAAAATACAAGCATGCATTCTGCTGTTAGTTGTCAGGGTAACTCAACCAGGAGTCAGGCTCCAGTGAGGCGAAGTTTGCCCCAAAGATTTTGTCGATGGCAAACACCAGGACAGTGTGCAACCAGCATCAGATCTAAAGACGTGTGCAACATTTGGCATCATAAAGAATCTCTGTCATGTTCACACCATAATGCTGTGTCTACGTGCATCACATTATCACTATTATTTTGATGTTTGGCTTGTTGCAGTAAGCAGGTTAATAGTATAAGCAAAGTCTAAACTGCCAAAACCACCAGAAGCCTTCAGAGCTCATCTCCTGGTAGAAAATGTTTCTATACAGCAATTTGTGGTAAAAACACAACAATGTGCCCCACATGTCTGTGTATACCATATGTACAGGACATGGACTTACAGAGTACAGCGCAAATGGTGTTGGAAGGCTCAAACCAACAAAAATGTGCAATTTTGTGTTTCCCAAAGCAGGGAAAAATATATTTACTGACATTGTCAATTTAATTCACTAGTCAATATCTAATGTTATTACATATATATTGCAAGTTAATAAATAAAAACACTTATCTGCAATTTTACAGGCACATACATACCACAAAAATAGACTATGTGGAAACTATATACTAGGCACAAGGTATATACAGTCTATGTGCTATGGGCACATTGTATAAACAAAAAAAAGAAGGTCAAAGCAAAGACACATAAACACAAAAATATACCCTGATTTGCTAACATATCACACCAAGGCAATCTGTACCTTTATATCTGGTACTGTGAAGATGAGAGGTTTGAAACATACATACTCTTCTTGTCAGTCAGTGGCAAACATGCACCTAGGATTTCATACCTATTTGCAAACAAGGTCCAGAAGATCAATTTAAACAATCACACTTAAAGCTCGGCCATCAGGCAGAGGCAGCCTTGTATCATGCAAACATGTCAATGGCAGTGAGCCACTAAACTGTGACATGGACACAAAACAGACAGAGGCTGAGGGCTTGGCCTGCCTGTATCGGCCTATGGCAGAGCGCCCACAACACATTTAAGATCATTTGAGTGGGCGTGACTTACAGAATAAAGTATTGAATACAGTGAACAGAGATGTGCCTGATATTGCCTGAAACATTAGCTCTTAAACTCTCTCCATCTCGCTCTGAATGACTGTTGACACATTAAAATCATATCAGCACAGTCCAGATAGCAGCTTAATAGGGCAAACTCTGGTTTTAAAACAAAGGAACAGGGACTAACTGATTGCACTGAAACTGTTTCCAAACATACTACAGCTATTGATTCATATACTCGGGTCATTCACAATCATATTGGCATTTGGCATGTACCTTTCCCATAGGAAAAAAGCAATATAGAGTTCTTGTGTTGCTGATGACTCAGGTCCCAGCACTGTGACCCACATAAGACAAAGAACAAGTTTAGTGCATGTCATCTATGTAAATGAATATGGTTCAGGAGCTGGGGTTAACAAGCCATACACTTAAGCCCTTAGATAAAACAATCACCTTCACTATGTTGAGGAGATAACAGCTCTCAGGAAAAGTGACAACTCAAAACTCATTATTAACCACTATGCCACCACTGTGGATCCACCTTGCTTTGTGAAGCCAATCAAATTCAAAGAGAATCTTGCAGCATGTTTTATAAGTTGATTATAAAAGGATAGACAGCTTCACTTAATATAATATAACACTATGCTGCAGCAATCAATAAAACTCTCTGAAAAGGTAGCAAACCTGAGTGAAATGTCCATCGCATTGATTTTACAGTTTAGCTATGGACCAAACCCAAAAGTTGGATGTAGTCTTTGTTACATATATGAATGAGCTGCTCATTCTCAGTCCCAATTGTATTATTAAGCCTTTTGGTTTAGCCAGATCATGTGTGGATAAGACGTACTGCTAACATTTTAAGAAAACAACCCATTGATTTTCATTTTGCTGTAGTGCAATACAAAATGCTTAATGTCCTCAGTGCTTGCTTTGGTCTGAGGAGTTTGCCATTTATATACAACTCACTCATGTTCACTTGTACCTTTACAAAACACTAAATCTTGTATTCCCATAGGGCAGGTGTTTGTGTCTGAAAGCTAGAAATAAATCTGATGCCCAGCCAAATATTTTGACACACACAACCCTTTGCATTGAAAAAGACATTGAAATCTCTTTATGTACATGGCAGTTTAGTTCTGATTGGCTTTTCAGTTTCTCTTATGGCATACATTCAGCAAGAGAAGATATGAAGCTTTAACACCATTTTCAACACTACCCCCAAACATAGTATGGTTCTTTTTGTTGACACATTCATAGGAGTTGTATGTGTTACTAGGAAGTTAAAGATTCATTTGTACTTATTCAAGTAAATGTACTTGTCAGCCTTTCATGTTGCCTAATTTCCTCCCATTGCAATGTCACAATATTTGTAAAATTACTCCAACATTTTAAGGACTATAAATTGCTTTGGACATTGCACATATCCTAAAATGTTTTTGGTTAGCAACATGGTTACTGGATAGTTAAACCTCAGCTGAGGCATAGCTGCTGGATTCTTGAAGATTTTAATGATAAAAAGTAAATGGAAAAGTTAACTTTCCTGTACAGCATATGTATAGATATTTATATCATATATATTTATATATAGGCAGGGTAGAGTATTGCAGACTTATATTGCATGTGTTAATCAATAAACCTAGACAAAACAAGCAAGTTTACAGTATGGGCTGTAAATGTATCCCTTTGATAAAGCTCTGATTACGTTCTGTTCACCCTCATCTCCAGGGATTACAATCAGTGCGCTGAGCAAACAGAGGAGTGTTCGCTTGATGGTTCATGGTCACTGTGCCAGACAAGTCATGCTCAACAAAGCCATGTAGAGCGTCCATTCTCTGAAAATTATAATAAAAACTTCCACACAAACACTCACCCACATGTACACATACACACAAACCAAATATATGGCTTCTAACTTTGAATAAAGGCAGTTAAATAAATGGCATTTTCTTCTAGGTTTCTTTTCAGTTGATACAGACACAACCAGACTTTGTGTTCAAGCTCACCTTTGGTTTGGATAGATACAATGAATATAATATCATTCATTCTCTCCTCAGCAATTATGTACACTTCAATGTAAGATCGACCAGCGGTCTACAACACTATGCTCACCCTTTTAAACAATATGAAAAGCAATGGTTCTTTTGCTATGATAGCTTTTGTATGAAAAAAAAACTAAACTAAACTAAACTAAACTAAACAAAAAACACTAAAAACACTTGAAATTCATTGTCATTTGACCTCACGTCCCTGATTTTCAAAAAGTCCAGCTCCTGCTAGATTGCATTGCATGGATTCTACACAGTATGTTTCTTCTTTACAAGACAGCAATATACAGTAGGTGTTTGGAAGCAGTGTAAGAGTGATACTAAGGGTGCTGGCCCAGCGGCCTGAACCAGTTCAACCTTAAGTTACAAGTTCAGTTGTATAGATTCCACTTCTAGCAAAAATGTCAGACTTTCATTTTGCTTGTAATTGCACCAACACAGAGAATCTTTTTAGTGTCACATGACCAAGGTTTCTTTGGTCACTTACTGACACAGCAGCTGGACTGACCAAGAACTAACAAGGATTTTCACAAAAAAGGCCTCTTTCCTGAACTTCACCAGGGTCACAAATTGGAAGACAGCCGGGATCTAGCAGAGTCTAGCTCTGGAAGGCTGACAACTGAATCTTTTTTGGGGACTCCAGAGTCTGGAGGTGCTACTGCCCCCGTCACAGCAGGTCCACCAGGGGGAGGCGTAGAGGCAAAGGCCACCCTTTGCTGGGGGCCCCCTGACCGCCCCACACCTGAGGGCCCAGGTACACCTGAAGGCCCTGGTACACTAGGGTGGGGAGCCTGTGGGGGGCCGATGGAGGTGTTGGAGGTGCGTGTGGAGGGAGGTGGGCTGGGCGCCACAGAGGCAGCCTGTGGTGTTCCTTCCTGGGGGAGTGAAGGCTGAGAGGCAGACATAGCTCTACTGTCCTGGCTCAGACTGCCTGTGTGGAGGGAGTGGGTGCTTTTGTGAGAGGCTTGCCGCTGCTGTGTTTGTGTGGGGCTGGGGACATGGTGTTGGACTAAAGACAACTGTGAACCAGAGGGGCCTGCACTGGCCAAGTATGGGAAAGTCCGACCCGTGGCTGCAAGAGGACTCTGGACGGGAGGGCTGGAGATGGCAGAGCCAAACGCCCCGCCAAAAGTCTGAGGGGGCTGAGCCTGAAGAGGGGACATGGACACTGGGCTGGCCAAGTTCTGCATCACTTGGAAGCGCCGCACCATGCGAGGGGACTGCAGGTTCCCAAGGCCCACCAAAGGATTTGCCATCTGGGGGCAGAAGCTCATGGCCACAGCCTGCTGTAGGGTGGCGATAGCAGAGGCGCCCTGTTGCTGACCTGGAGGAGCAAACATCCCACCAATGGATGGGGTCATAGACATGGCCCTTGGCCGCTGTAAATCCACCAGTTTCACCATCTCTCGGTCGTACTTCACAATCTCTTGAATCATCTCATTCTCCTGGTTATTGAAGACTCCAGAGTTGAGATCATGCTGAACCTTGTGCATCAGGATGGAGTTCTTTTTTCCTATAAAAGCAATAAAAAATACAATGATAAAAATATGTAGTTTTCATATTATCACAACAGAAGAATTTAATAGAGAAAAATTACTTTACAACATGCAATCGGCCTTTGCTCTCATCTAATGTTACAATGAACTATGTTGGACTGAGGATCAAACAAGCTCATTTTACTATGATTTCAACTATTATTTTCTGAATCTGAAATATTCAGTCCTCTGTACACCATGTAACCATTTCAGTGTCCTGCTTGAAAGCTTGCATTTCCTTGCTACTGTACATATAATGTATTTTTGCCCACCTATACGGTCCAGCCGGTCTATGGCAACGGTCTCAAATGCTCGCCTCATCATGGGATATTCTTCTAGCACCTCATTGAAGTGATCCACAGACAGAGAGTAAAGGCGGCAGTAAGTTTCTGCTCGGACACTCGCAGTTCGCCTTCCCCGGGTTAATAAACAAATCTCTACAAAATAAGACAAAACTTTAAAACAATGTTGCTATTAAATTATAGGGGATTCCCAAAGAAAACTTGCACCTCCAAAATAAGAGCCATCTGAGAGTTTCATTGCCAGAGTTCCTTTGGTAATAACATTGCAGACTCCATGTTGGATGAAGTACATTTTCTTCCCAATTGTGCCCTCTCTAATGATGTAGTCCTGTGGTTGGAACACTTCAAATCGCAACTTGGTCAGCATGGCTGTCACAAAGTTTGGCTCTGCATTTGCAAACAGTGGCATGGATGCCACTAATTTGCGACAATTGAAGTTGACAATTTCCTGAAATAAGATATTAGAACATTACTAATAATGTTATTGACATTTTAGAAATAAATTTGTTATCTATTGTGTTTTACCTCTCTGAGTGGCTCGCTGAGTTCACCCAGGATGCTCTCCTCATCAAACATCTTTCCCTGGTATCTGTGTTCATAATAATCATGGATCTTCTGTCGGAAGTCGGCCGGTAACTTGTGAAAGGACATGTATTGCTCCACTTGTTTGTACTAGAAAACAAAAGATATAACATTGTAGTATTATACTTTTTAGACACATAAAGAACATTACATACAGTAGGTTCTGGAAGCAGTGTAAGATTGGGCAAAGACTAATGAAACATATTTGGCTTATTTTTACTTGAGGACGACTGAACACTTGTATAACTCATTCAGCTTCATCTTAGTATAAACATGGTTTGACCAGGGTAAGTGGTAATAATTAGGAAATAATTCGGCGTGACAACAACATACTGTACCACTAACTTACTATTGTGTTGTGTGAATAGCAACCCATTCAAAGCAATAATTGAGAAAGCCAGTTGCAAGCCAGTGCTTCAGAAAGAAATCTTGTTCTTGTTCTTGTTCTCTAGTTTTGATGAAGTAAAAGTAGTGAGCTCTCTCACTACTAAACTGTAAGAACAGTGTTTAACTTTTGTTAAACACTGTTCTTACACTTTTGCAATTAATGACAATTGCAGTTATCCATCAGCTGGATACCAACGCAATTGTTCAGTTAAGTAATTTGTACTTTTTATGTGATCTAATGTATAATATGTTTTTTTAGACATGCTGTCCAGAATTACATTTTTTAGCATCAGTGCAATTTGTAGGTGTCTTAGACTGAAAATGTGTAACAAAATTGTACATGAGAATTGCATTGTACTGGATTGTGTCAGGACCACATGGAAACATCCACTTTATCATCCATTGTGTGTATTTGTGTCCTAGCTTATACAGTATGGATTTCTCCATAAGGAGACTACAAAGGCTATATTCTAATCACAAATTTAGACACAGAAACTGCAACAAGGCCTAGTCTTTTATTATCAACTTAATACTGGATCAGCGACTTAGAAGATGGGTTCTTTTACTTCAGACATTCCATGATAATAAAGTGGGGGTTTATAGATCGGTATAATTCACATGTTTTGCTGTGGCTCCAAAGAGGAGTCAGAAGTATATACATTATTGCAGTCTGTCTAAGGCAAACATTTCTGTTGTATTTAAATACAACCCTACAGGTATACATTTAATTGGAAATGTTTTGAATTATAAAAGTATTTTGATCACCGACAATATCTGCACTGTAGTGAGTAGACATATATACTGGCACTGTTAGCAGCAACTATTGCTGCTGTCTGTACTGTTTTTCAAACTGCATAGCATAAACAAATAAGCATCATTTGAATTATTGAGCTCCTTGTATGTAAGGAAGTCTCCAGGGAAGAGTGCGCCTGACTCTGATGGACTTATGCAACACACTGTGAGCGTTTCACCTGCACCGCTACTCCTGACACATCCAGATGGAGGCCAGCCTCCAGCAGTGACCCTGTGTCACAAACCTTTACCTGAACACACAACACCACATCGCAGTGCTGTACAACATCTCGATATTCACAAAACTTCGACTAGATTTGCAGCTGTGGTTGGACAATATGATGCACATTTATCTCCACTAATATTGCCAAACACATTTGTTAGAAATAAATATCACTCCTCAATCTCAAATCTATTAATCATTTAATTGTCAGCATTGATGATTCTTAAATAACTTCTAAATTTAGTAATGCGTTTTGACCAGCAAGCCTTTTCAAACAACATGCAGAGAACGTTTGCACCCTAAAAAATATTCTGTTAATAGCATCGGTACAAGGCAAGTGGTAAGTACCTGCAATACAGTCATCAACATGAGCAAATGTCTTTCTCTGTGTATGTTTTGTATTATTTTAGGTTTTATTCTGCAGCCGCTTTGACCCAAAGAAAACAAGTGGTCTGAAATGCAAAAAAAAAAAGTCCCACAGGTCCCCTCCTCCTTGTTGTACTCCTTTACAGACACTGTGATGTAGTAGCCAGTTAGCTTAGCAGTAAAACATGCAGCTCTCAAGGACATCACTAGTACTGACACAGGCAGAGAACAAAGGAGAGATCAGAAATAGAGAACACAGTCGCATATGAGGTGGTAAAAGGCTGTGATATGTGATGACAGTGGATTGGTCAGGAAGTAGAAGAGAGGGGTAAAAAGCCTTGAGCAGATGCTGCTCCTGAGTGTGAGAACAGCGGAGGCAGCCATTGGTGCTTACGTCACCTTCAGGATGACATTGGCAGGACACACAGGTCTGCTGCCTCATCAATTCTGCTGCTGCCCAAGGGGACATCACGGCACACAGAGTGTCTCGCTCTCTGTTTCCCACATCTGCCCCTCCTCGTAGGCCCTGGCGACGTGGCTGTACCTGGCCCAACACAAAAGTGTGCTCTGATTGGCCAATGAGAGCCAGCAGCTCTCCACACTCTCCAGCCGGTGAGACTCTGCTTGGATACAGAGCGGCTACACTACAGACCACTGCTGCTGCTCCTCGTCACTTTTCTCTTTCCATCACATTTTCATCTCAGACATTTACAGAAAGAAAATTCTATAAATCTGACTCAAGAACTGACCCTAATGGAAAGTGCTGTGTGTCATCGCACATGAACTTAACTAAAAGAATGGAATGGACAGAAATTGTATCGCAGGATGTAAAAACAACATACAAAATCCAAATAATGAGAAAGATTTGCCCCAGCATACAACTATTACTATAGAAATAAAAGAAAGTTCATCAGGAAATTGTTTATATCTTGAACTCCTGCCCTGCATTCTCTGAGTATAAATTGACCACTATCTCTGCACTCCTCCGGAGTTCAGAACACCTTTTTAAAGCAGGTACTTAAAAAGCCATCAGTCTGTAAGGCAGTTTCACTCTTATGTCAGTATTATTGTTTATTAACTTTTCATGTTTGTGAAGACTTTTTAGCGAGGTTACCATTACTGATACAAGAAAGACTTGTGTCCATTGTGATACTTTCCATCTGTGGATCTAGTCTTATTAGACAGGCATGTATTCACTTATAATGATGATTGATCATCTAACTTACCTTTTCCTGATACTGTCGTCTGGAGGAGTCCAAGGACTGGATGAGGGCTGTCGCGTGCCCAATGAAAACAGCGTAGCACGTGGCTCCAACAATCATACTGAGCATTGTAAGCCAGATGTCTGAGAGACTCTCAGGGGCCTGCCGACCATAACCAATGCACAGCATGTGACTCATGGCCTTAAACACAGCGAAGGAGTAGAGCTCTGACCAAGTATCGTTCTGCAGGAAGGATGTAACGACACAAAGAGTTAAAGACGTGCTGAAGGACAGAGGAGAGAGAAATGTAGCAGACAAGCTGTGGAAACAACAGGGTCATGAGTAGCACTTATACAAATGAGAACTCCAGGGACAGGACTGCTTAACTAAATAAGAGGAGGAAAAGGAACCAACACCAGGGAAGTCCTTTGAGGCCTAATCAGGAAAAGTAGAAGTGGGTTTAAAATTATTTCCTCAGAGAAAAATGATGAGAGGTCATTAAGTATGCCCTTTCAGTGCAGTGTGAATTTATTTCCATTTCTTTTTCTTTGTATATTTGCCTATATGCACCAAACGGTGAATGTAAAATGATGTATAACATACAGAGTGAATGTTATCTAAAAACAATTTGAAGACTTTATTAATATTTATTTAGAAATGTTGCATATGTTGGCAACGTAAACATACTTTAAAGAGTCCACCAAGTGGGCTATGGACAAACGTGAAAACATAAAGAGAAACAGTCAAGTGAAACAGACTGAATAATAGATGAATGATGAGCACTTTGATTCTGAAATAGTACAGGAATCCATATGCGTCTCAACAGCTCCCCCAGGAGACTTTAGTTTGGGAACCATCCACTGTTTGTTACTAATCACAGCCTTCATTAGCAGAGCAAAGTCCATTTGGTGTTTAGAGTTTCACACTTCATATGTTTTTGCTGCTGTGATACAGTGCCTACTTCAGTAGGCATGAAGGCATGTAAATTACAAATGTTCTGTGCCGTATATTATTTTAAAAAATGAACAATAATTCAAAAAAGGGGAGCTAAAATGTGTCTGTGTTTTTTCCAAAAGATACACCTGACCCTCTGTGACTGAAAACTATTCAGCACATAGAGCCTGAGTGTGCTTGTAAGAGGATGTTATTGCAGTGCTTTTAACTCAGTCTAAAAAAACACCTGGGTTCCTTTGGGACGGGTGTAATCACATCCGCACCATCCCGCTCTTTGACTTAGAAACAAACACCACCGAATACTAGTCCATTATACAGCTGGGACAGTAGCATTCAATTTTCTTGTGTAATACAGAATTACTCACTGCAGCACATTTAAATCAAACTGATCATGTTTGTCAAAAGACCTATGACACTGTTTGTTCAGACAAAGAGCACTGGGTAAATAAAGAAATGTAACATTGTATGCAGTGATTACAGTCTTATCTTCTCCCACAGCACAGCGACGCAGTCTCTCGGTTGTCACAGCAGGATAATAGGGAGGTGATGCTGTGTGTACAGTGGGTACACACACAATAGTAATTACACAGAGGAAACTATATACTGTTTGTCAGTTAGCCCTTCTGTCACTGCTATTATCTATGTGACTCAAAAAGGCTGTGGCACTCGCTTCCAAAATGATTGTGGAAGTTAATGCTATAAAGTAACGTGGTGTAAAAACAACCTGTCTTTCCTGAGGTATTACAGAGTCCAATTACTGTTTTAGTGGATGTCATTGGAAGTACTTGGGATGCCCTCCACTGCTCCTGCCTGTAGGCATTGCTTTATCAGGGTGCAGGGTGTGATGGATGGCCAGGCTCCTGCACAACTGCTAATGTTACAAGTTGTGGACGACTCAATAGGGAGGTGGTCTCAGGTGCTCTGGGCCTGTGCAGAGCTTGGACAGCTTTACAGTGACTGACAGCTCTCTGGGGAGTCACTGTCTTTGATTATGCAGGGCAATGACAGATCCAAACTTTGTCATTCAAACTTCAACTATAGTATGCAAGTTCAAGATCAAATATACCCTTTCCATGGACTGCTCAGTTATCATTTCAAAAAGAGTGCAAACTTGTTCATGCACCTATAGCGATAAAGGTTGAGATAACTAATGCTTTGGATGGAAATTAAGGTTTATGAAAATATCTGCTTTGTATCTCTATGTCAAGCACTACAATTGTACTTGTAAAGAGAGCCTATCCTAACAACCAGATGGACTTCCTGCAAACAATCTGGACAATGTCCATTTGGTGTTTACTCATGACAATTCATATTTTAAGGGCCTCATATATTAAGCTTTTGCTCATGTGCTAAACAGCCAAACACTCTAAAAGTAGAGCAAAACCCTTGTGCGATTTTGCACAGAGACGCTAAAGAAGACACAGCGCAATTTTGTTTCTATGAGTGAATTAATATGCAAAACAGTTCCTTTTTTGCCAACATCACAACAATCTAAGGCAGAGGAGATGCAAATGAAGTTGTTGAGCAGTGCTGCCAGATTTATTACAACTATAAGGGCTAAAGCTGTGTGACTAATATAGTAGGTTGGAGAGAAAAGTATTAACTTTTTTTTTTTTTTTTTTACACAGGATGGCTGGTGCACTTAGTGCACAGGGTATTTGATATTGATTTTAAATGCTTTAAAATGACCCACAAGGATAGATAATAACATTTTGTTTTCAAAGCAGCAGTAATACAATATAAACTCTTTACCTGTGACATTTTGGCCCTAACTCTCACAAATCTTTCACTGATCCGGAGCATTCTACAGCAGCTGTCCATCAAACTGGGCTTTCACGCGTCAGTCCCACGTCCTGAAGCGGAGACTGTGGGGTCCAGTCCAGCCATGTTGGATGAGACGCGAAGTGCTATAAGCACGCACGCGTTTGTGCTCGTATTTCCACAATCCATCTTTACACGTTTAAATCCAAAACTTAAAGAATAGCACTGGCTAACAGCCCATGGGAGCAGAAGCATGCAAAAGTTTCCACTCTCTATTAGTTTTGTGGTAGAAATAATACGCGCACTTCCCAATGGTAAATCACGACCGTGGTTGAATTGGTTTGATATTGGATATTGGATATATTGGATATAAAGCAATTTAACTTGTGATACATATCACAGATTTTTTTCAAACAACTTGTGATGTCTTCATAATCATCCAGGGTATATATCAAAAGACAGTAATTATATATATTAAAAAAAAACATTGACCATTGTTGATTTTTCTTTCCTTAACACCAACAATTTTGTCCACGTCTGTACATCACAAATTAAATTCATAAATATGCACTAAATCAGCTCATAGTATGATTTATTTTGTTTATATATAATTACTGTCTTGTGATATTTACCCTGGAAGAAAAAAGCAATCTGTGATATGTATTGCAAGTTAAATATCTTTGAATGTGTCAAATATCCAATATCAAACCAATTCAACCGCAGTTAAATCATGCGCAACACGTCCACAAAAGTTATTTTGCAGTTTATTGCTAGTTTTCAGATTATAGAATCTGATTATATTATACTTCCATATGGGGGCAAGAAACAGTTTTCCCTATTACTTGTAGTACTTTGAAATATCGGAAAGGTAAATTCTAAAATTTGGAACCTGGTCATTTATATTATTAGACCCAAGACCATGATATAGCCTATTACAGCAATATATAGCTTAAGAATATTAATTTTACCTGCTTCCCATATGTATTAAATAATACTGGCCTATAGAGTGTTGTGATGTCATCTGAAACCCAGCAATACTCGCAGTTTAGCGCAGGGGTTGATAACTGAGATCCCAACTATCACCCACTCTCGCCTTCTCTTTAAATATACATGTACTTATTTGTCTAACATAGACATGATTTTTCCAGCAGAAAATACCAGGAGGTACAAAATGATAGGGGACGTATGGAAAGTCTGCTGGAGTGCTAACCACTGACATTTTACAAGGGATATTGTACTGTAAAGCCTTTGGTATTGTTCACAATTTATGTTTATTTAACAGTAATTACTGTTTACATAAAACAAAAGTTCTGTAATGTAAGTAAATTGTGTGTCATCTTGACAGGCCTCGGACAAGTGCAATCTGTTAAAAACCCTGTTTGGACCTGTGCCTCCCGCTTGGGTGAGTGAGCTCTCCTCTCATGTAAAAGGCTACACTGACAGACAGACCCATAAACAAGTAGCTTTTATCTCTGTGAGAAAGACATGGCAACAAAGAGCCCAGCTGCCATGCCACAGTCCCCCTCCCATCCCTCTGTTTCACCCCCTTTTATCTTTTCTGTCATCACCCCACCAAGCACAAGCATCCAGAAGTGTGCTTCAATCTCGTGTCCAGGGCCTCTCCTAAAACTGTTCCCTGGTTTAGTGCCACACACTTGTGGCGAGTCATTGTTTTCACAAATGTTGTCCTAGAGCTTAATTGGCTCAAGCTGTAGCTTTTGATAGCTTATAAAGGTTTATGCAATTGATTCTTTTAGATATAAACATAATTTGGTATTAACCGAGAGGAGGTACAATTTCAAAAAGAATAAGGATTAATGCTTTTTATCAAAGTATTCCCTGAACTAAATAATGGATCAGTTTCAAGACCTGTGTGTGTACAAAAATATTTGTTATGGCCACGAGCTATTGATTTACACTGTCACAACATGTTAATCAATGGTGTGTGACCACGGTATTTCCCTTTTCAATCAATGACAACTAAAATGTGTATAGTATGTACCTCCATCTTGTTCAGGGACACCCAGCAGTCTGAAGGAAATTCCTGGAGCATGGGGACCAGGAACTGTAGGCAGCCATCCCAGTGACACAGCAGCAGCATCATAGCAATGAGGTTACAAATCCGCATCACTGCACTGGCCAGGTCATAGGTCATGTGGAAGATCTGTCAGACAAAAAATATGGTTGAAACAGGTGAAGGAATGTGAAGTGAAATGTACAGTTTTTATTAATGTTAGATACATTCAAAGGGTTATGTGATTAATGAGTTAGACGGAACAGATAACCATCATCCCCTCATCAAACTCTGCAGGAGCAGGGTAAAACATTTGCTCAATCAAGATTCCTGACATCAATCACAGTTTGGCCAAGTCATAAAGAGGTAGTCACTCACACAAGGCCCGGGCCAACTCCACAATACAGTCACAACCTCAGAAGGAGACACACAGGCAGTGACAGACGGCCATAGTTGTAATGTTGAGTCTGTGTCGCCTTACCCATCAATCACACTGAGATACGGGACAGTGGTCAAGTACCAATCACCCCGCTGGCCTCATACACCAGGGGATGTATGATTAAGCATGCAGGTCAGTGGGCATCAAGTCTTAACTGAGAGTGTGGACAATATAAACTGCTACAGGCCATAACCAACCAAAAGTGATCAAAAGTGACCATATATTAAAGGGCCCACATTATGCTTATTGTTTGATCTATGTTATAATGTTGTTTCCTCATCACAAGCATATAAGGAGTTTTGTTTCATTCTCACATTTGTAACACACAAACTCTGCATATTTGGTCTCTGTGCCTCTCTCAAAAAGAAAACACTCTATTCCACCTTGTGATGTCACGTAGTAATACAGGAAGTGTTCCACTGTGTTTTTAAACTCCTTACACCTTTAGTAGAACCATTTGGATAATTTCAGCTCTGAAATTGGCAATTTCTGCTGAAAACAAGGTAAAAGGTAGCTTTTAACTTGAAAACTAAAGCTTCATGACATGACAAAGTTCAGAAATCTGACCTGGAGTACTAATTAACTTGTATATAAAAATAGATAATTAAGGACAATCTAAAACAACTAAATAATAGCTGAATAATAGCAGGATGAAATATATAATGTTTTGTTAGTTCAAGTAATGTTTTTTGTGTGATTCCACTGCAGCTGTAGATGGCAAATCCTTCCAAATCGTGCGTTTTTTGCTAACCATGCTTTTTACGCTAACTGGACTGGGGTCACACTGAGGTTATTACCAGCAGAAAAGCACTGAATCGCTGTTACATTTGTGTCTTAGCTCTCAGTCTCTGTGTATGCCAAGTATCACTTCCCATCGTCTGTATGTGTGTATATCACATCATATCTTCAGAAATCCAATTATCCAAAGGTCAAGTGAGCAATGGAGCCCCCTTTGCACCACACACCACTGCAAAATGCTGCCAGGCTGCCGATACACGGACATAAGCAGGGAGTCATCTGACTACCCCACTGGACCTCTCATCATAGAGACTACCGGTACTCCTTTTGTGTCCCAGCTGGGAACATAGTCAAACAGACTCCCTTCTGCAATTTTTTTTATATATACCGTGGATGTTTTAGCAAAGAGGCAGAGCCAATATTGAAGCACTGGATAGTATTCAATATCATCACTGAAGAGCTGTACTGAAATAACAAACAAGTCTTGTGTTTTTACTCCAATTGAAGGCCTCAAATTGGCCTTAAATTGTGCTGTGTTTTTGTCAGTTATCAACATTCTGTCTTCAGTGATTGGACTGACCCACACAAATCAGCCTTCACTACTTGAATGTGTCACCAGTTACAGATTGATCATTCTTTTCTCTCAACAAAAGAGTTTTAATTGATATGCCAGCATGAATTATGTATTACAATTATTAACTGTATTTTACATTGGTTGGCGCAGTGTTGCTCACCAAATTACCTTTTTGATCCTGATGTGAAAAGTTTATGAAGTTAAGTCAGTCAAATTTATAATTCATACAAGTTTTCCTAACTATCTGCTTGTAATTCTGTAATTAAACAGGTGCCATGATGATAGGAGATGATTTTGGTTATTCCCTTCATCTGTCAGGGGTCATAGTCTTGTGCCTGAGCAAAATCACATTTCATATCCCCTTGTATTCTACCCCAGCTCCCCTCCCTCTGATGTCTTAATTGTTCAACTTTGTTTATTCTGGTAATAGACTGCTTATTTCACCTCCGAATGCTGCTGTGGGACTGCTGGGTGAGACATGAAGACGTAGAGAGGAAACTTGAGCAAAATCTGAGCAATCTGATATAATGTTTGTAGAGGTTTGTGCCCTGCTGTTTTTATATGGATCTCAATAGGGAGCAGTAAGCGAGGACTTTAATACTAGGCAGGCAGCTGGAGGAGATGCTACTGTGTGGCCTCAGGTTTGTCCGGAGCCAGCGCCAGCAGACTGTACACAATAGTGAGCATTTGTCTCTGTCTTGACTCCAGATTGACTGTTACTTTGTCTGTAGTGAGGAACTGAAATAAGACCATGCAGCCACTACCAACTTGCATGTATAGGTAAATATAGCTATACAAACAAGTTGCTGTTTTTCCACAAACTATATCAAGGATAAAGAACTAAGGATTAAACATGTCATCTCCTTATGCAGATGAAGTTAAACTGTGAACATCAAAGTAAAAAAAAAAAAAAAAAAAGTTTTTAGTCATATCTTTTCAGAACTATAAAAGCCTTACATAGAGTGTAAGACCAGAGGCAATTACTGCTGAGACTACAAAAATTGTGAAGTTGCAGTACCTTAGTTAGTTGAGCCTAAACAATGATCTTTAGTGTGACCAATATAACAATCAAATAAAAGACTGGCTTAGTTGAAATACATTTAGACTCTGTAGCCTCTACTTTACACTTACCTCTTCCCATTGGTGTATATAGCGTATTAATCTGGAGAGTCGCAGCAGCCTCAGAAGACTTAGGATTTTAGTAAATCGGACAATCCTCAAGGCGCGAGCAGTTTTGTACACCTCTGAGTCTATTCCTTTCTCTACAATGAGGAAAATGTAATCCACTGGAATAGATGAGATAAAGTCAACAATGAACCAAGTTTTTAAATATTTCTTTTTTATAGTTTCAGGGTCCAAAATAATGTCTGAGTTGTCCTCTATGATGATCCCTGTGCGAAAGTTGAGGACCAGGTCCATAAGAAAAAAAGTGTCTGACACCACATTGAAGATGATCCAGGGCGTGGTGGTCTCGTCCTTGAAGAAGGTGATGCCCACAGGGATGACGATCAGGTTGCCCACCATAAACAGCAGCATTGTGAAATCCCAGTAGAACCTGAGAGAAAAGAGTACAGGAAAAGAAAGGGTGGAGGGAAAAGACACAAATATAGCCAGATGAGACCATAACATTTTGGAAACTAGGTAGCTACAATTAAACAGCAATTAGATAGAAAAGACACAAAGAAGTAACTGTCTCCATGGTTATAAAGTTTAGGACTCAAATTTGTCCTGTTTCTTCAAATGTCACCTGTATTGTCAGTGTAAGGTAAGCAACCATATGTATATGTTTATGGAATGAGCTATAGTGTTGGCCAACAATAACAAAACCCAGATTTGACTTACAGATATTTAAATAGGAAAAAAGCAAACAAAAGGATGATTTAAATTAGCTTTAAGGTTTATGCTTGATTATGTCAAACTTAGTCCATGAATATATGAAAAACAAAGCTTAGAGTATGTTCAGATTTAATAAATTCACATTGCTGACACTAGTGCACTGTCTCTAAGTTGGTGCAGGGCTGCCTAAAAGTCTTGAAGCTTGTGTTTGTAACTTGTGAAGATAGAATGTTTTATAGGGATGAGGAGCAAATTTTTGAAGTTATACACTTTGAACCCATGAATCTCTGCAGGACAGGTGCAGCGCTGAGTCACTACTGCTCCTGTGACTTATGCAACATAAGCTCTAACTTCATACTGGGAAGGTGTCAGTTTTTTTTAAACATCTGTCAGAGGTGGGCTTAATCACTTGATGCATTCATATGTTCATCCTCTTTTTACATCTATATAAACCCTTGTTACAGGCAATAAATCTGTTTAAACAAGCAGGCATGAAGGCATACTCTTACCAAAATGAGCCAATGCTAAAAATAATAATAAAGTTTCATTCATTCCAGCTATCATATAATTGATGCAAAAAGGTGATGGTTTATTAAGCACCTATTTAAGGGATGGAGACTATTTTCATAAGCCCTACTTAATACTTTGAACATGTTAGTTTAGCCTGAAGTAACCAATGGGGAACATAGAACATGTAGCAGAAGAGGACAATAAGGGTTTTCACTGAGTATGAGTGGGATGTAATGAAACCAGGTCTCAAAAGTGGTCAAATTACATCCTGTTAAATACATCTAAAGTTTAACCCTTGTCGGCGTTATCTGATCTATGTGGGCCAAACGCAAGCCCTTATATGTGGATGGGACTGGAGCTGTCCGTGGTGCTGAAACAACGCAACCGAATGCAGCCACTGATTTAGACTAGTCTGGTCCGCGCAATCTCAATAATAAAAAAAAAAAAATCTTAACATTTGTGAATTGTACAAGCCTTTGGAAATATTTTCTTCACGTGACAAACGTTAGACCGACCAACTTCAAGCAGGTGTAACAACGTTTGAGCCGCTCCGAACACAGCTCATCCGTCACTGATAGTGCAGGGTGCGGAGAGCCGTCTGCGGGCGAAGATGTCTCCAGTGAGCATGCTTGAGGTTTTCGTACACTTGGCTCAAGGTGACATTCCATTACGGCCGCGCACACGTTTAGCCTACATCCTGCCACGGCTGTGCTGGCAAAGATACGTGCTATTGGTTAAAGCGTGGGTTTTGAAGAAAACGTAAGGACTGGTGTTATGAACGCTGCGTCTATTAAAGACTATGCTCAGATGTAACGGTAGCAGGCCAGACTTGGTGACCATCCCACATATGTTACTGTAGGGTACTGAAACAGCATTTGTTGACAACCTTGAAAGGACGCCTTTGTAAAGTCCATTAGACAACAGGTTGTTATAGAATAAAACAATGTTCCATATTTATTCTTTATGGTCTAATATTTGTGGAGATGCTGTGTTGACATTGAGCTCTATTCTATAAGTGACCAGTCACTTATAGTAAATCGTAGTTGACAGTAAACCTCAGTCTTTTTACAGCCAAGTTCGTGCTCTTACCTGAAGTCGCTATATGGGTGGATAATCCAGTTCCCCGCTGATTTGACCCTCTCTTGCTCCCTCTCTACCGCTTTTTGACTCCCATACATGCGCAAGGAGAATTTATTGACTCCGGGCTGTAACATGCTGCTGAATTGTCGCTGCATGAAACTGGCTTGACTACCCCTGGGTTCGGCATCTTCGGCAGGCACAATTTGAGGGCCATCTTCTGTTTTCTGGAAAGTAACGGAGGTCCTGTGCTGCTGAGTCTGAGGGCATGAGGCTTTCCTGCTCGGCGCGTTAGAAAAGGACACCTTGGAGTCCTTCTTCTCGGGGACACCTCCGTCTGCTCCGTGGCCCCCGGTCAAGGAACCGCCTGGCGTGATCGAGCCGTCCATGCTCGCAGTGGTGGAGTTACAGGCACCTCGCGCAGCACTACCGGCGTCCTCGGCCCTCGACCTCTCCTGTTTGGAGATGATTGAGCGCAGGCTGCCAGTGCCAGAGTCCCTCCTGCATTCTCCGTTTTTGGTGCATTTCATGTTGGAAATGGGAGCCAGACCATCCCCTGTTGTCGCGCTCATAGGCTCGGCCGCTGCTGCGGACTGCGAGGCCTGTTGTCCAGCTTTGGCGCTGAATGCGCGCTCGGCAACATCGCCCGCACAGGGTGTGTGGCTCTCCTTGGCTCTGGAGAAAGCAATGGGCCGTGGGGCGGCGGTGGCGTTCTCTGCGTGCGTAAGGCTGGGCTCCTTGTTGGAGTTTCTCCTGGAAGCAGAGGACGCGGCTCCCCCTCCTGGTCCAGGCGTAAAGTTCTTCATTCTGATGCCGCCACTGCCCGCTGCTCGGCGTAACCGAGGATGCTCAAACTTGGACTCCTCGTCTCCGTCGTCTGTCTCATCCATCACGTTGCTGGTCACACCGGGCTGCTTAGGGCTCGCTGCCCCCGCAGACGCCGCGTCTACACAGTTCTGACTGCTGTTGCTTCTTGTGCATTTGGACGTGCTGGTGTGGCCGCCCACCGTTTTCTTTTTCATAGCAACAGCAGCAAAAGCAGATACCGACGAAGCCTCATTTTTTTCCATGACAATGATCACATCAAAATTGCCTTCAATTATCTTTGGGGAAGACCAATCAGAGACGGACAATAGACGGGAAGAAATGGGATCGGAAAGAATTGGAGAGAGGGAGGGGTGGACGTGACTTCTTTGTAAACTATGCTTTATACTTTCACACTTGGGTGTATCGGGACTCCTGTGTCATATGTCCAAGCCTCAAACGAACACCACGCCGGTGAAATTGCGTCAAATTCCATTAATCTAATTCAGATTTGTTGACTTGAAGCCAACGAAAAGGGTCAATTGTTGCATCAGGAGTGCACTTTGGTCTTCATGATGAGTAAAAATTGTGTAAAGCAAGTTTAATTTCCACGTGTTTATGTAGGCTCACATGATGTCATGTTTCAAAAGGTGTTTTCAATGACAACCTTCGTTTGTTCGGATTCGCTCTGGTTAATCTTTGGCGACGCTCAGTGGTAACTAAAAACAAAAACATCTGCACAAAAAGTCGAATGTTCTTACAACAAAAGACTAGTTCACCAAATATTTGTTTATTCTTATTTTGAGACCTATTTGATAAATTACCATACCACCATCTTATCACATGAAATGACAGATTTAAAATACATGTAAATAATTCAAGGGTATAAAGTAATAATGATCATAGCCCATGTTTTTTTTTTGATCAA